ATGTTTACCGTTAATCGTAATGTGGGGTACCCTATGTGTGGGGTACCCTATGTGTGGGGTACCCTATTCCCACCCTCGTCAGTAAATTGTGTTATTCGATTCCATGATATATAATGCTTCCAAATTGTCATTTAATGATAAACATTTAGTACCCTATATGCTCGTTTATATGCATTGACCTTTGAATAAGTAGCAAATATGGTATATTAATGATTGTAATTTCTATAGCTCAAGGTTAAAACATCTCCCGGTGTCAAGAGAAACTACAGACTGGCATTTGCAACAGTTAGGAAAAAATAAAAGAATTATAAAATATGTTTAATCTAAACAAGCACAAATATTTTATTACGATGATCATGAGAAATTGCGCGGTTCATCAATTATTAAAGCTGTTCATTAGACGAAGTGCATTTTGTAGGTTAATTGACATTAATGAATCAAAGTCCTGAGATCGCTCCAAATTGTCATTAGATGTAAAATTTTGATATAATACTTTAAAAGAACAGGACAAATTATTATTATTATTTACGAAAGTGGCCATCGTTTGTGTGAGAAATTCACGAAAGTGGCCATCTTCTTTTTAGAAATTCATAAAGTGTAAATCTTGCCCAACATCTCAGGCCTCTATTTTAAGGGAAATAACTGTGTTGATTTACAATCTTCATATTGATATTTCATGCTATATCTAGGCACTGTTGTCATCAAACTTTTATGGTAAACCAATTCCTACAGCGGAAGCTTTATGGAAGTTAATTTTCAGCAATTTCCTTACAGTTTAATGGGAAAGTATACATAATTATGGATTAAGTAAAGGTTATGTCTGAGAAGCAGATTAGGGGACAATTAATGCAGTATATTTTAGTTGTAATTAAATCTTTATGGTAAACATTGTTTTAATTGGTATACGAATTCTTTCTTAAAATGTGTAAAGCATAGCAATATTGTTGTAACTTAGTGGATAGAAAATGAGTTCCTTTGTCCACCATTTTCTACACAAGGAAATACCTGTACCAAGTCAGGAATAAGATAGTTGTTTTCCTTTCGTTTGATGTGTTTGAGCTTTTGATTTTGTCATTTGATGAAGTACTTTCCGTTTTGAATTTTCCTTGGAGTTTGTTATTTTACTTTTAATTAGGAAGTTACTAGTTGATTGACTGTTAAGAAAAACAAATATACGTTTACAAAATGTTCTCCCTTGCTTTGTAACTGTGCAGTTCAATAGTTTCAAGGATAAACCGCTGAACAACCACAAAAATAAAGAGCCGATGGAACATTGATATATTTTACCTGAACAGTGAACGAAATCAATAATAAATTGTTCTTTACTACCAGAATAGTCATACTCATAAAACAAGCAACCAGTGCAAGCAACCGATATTATTATTATACAATTAATTATAGTCAAACTTTGCAAACAAAATTCCCAAACCCCTTGCCTAAACATCCGATCAAAGTGGGGGTATACATACTTACCAACAATTCTTAAGTATGTAAGGTCTCAGCTTGTCATTATATGTAAAAACAATTGTCAAAGTTCTATAACTGCCGAAAAATTGTCAATTCAAGATGGCTGTTTAGTAAGGTCTTTACTACGTACAATGAAAAACAATCTTACCAAGGCCTTTGAATGTGTATAGCGTTATCAAAATTGTATCATGCTGGAATAGGCCAAAAACGACATGAGTTCAATAACACTAAATGATAATAAGAATTATATTGGCTACAACAAGCACTGTTTTATTTTACACTTCAAAACCGATGAACCTTTTATCAACGTCATAGACAGTTTACTGCAGTAGCATGTCATGTTATGAATTGAAGGTTTCCTAATCAAAGAACCAGACTATCGAAGACAAGTTTGGGTTATTTCTTGCATGGTGCTTTGGATCAGTAAGTAGTTCCTATATACTCTCCTGTTTAAATATATGATAAAGCGTATAAATCATGGCAAAATCCGTATTACATGCCGTATCACCCTCGACCAATATCATCCATCGGGCCTAAAGGCCCTCGGGCTGATAGTGGTATCTCGGGATGATACGGCATGTGATACGGATTTTGCCATGTATTATTCTCTACGTATTTTACTTTTTAGAGTCGTTAGTTTACTGTAATAACACTCAGGAAAATAATGTTCTACCTAGCAAAAAAAAAAAAAAAAAAAAAAAAAAAAAAAAAAAAAAAAAAAAAAAAACAGACAGACAGACAGACATCCAAAAATCTGTCTTAAGACTTATTTATGTATATTCTTTTCAAAGTATATGTGTTTACAGCAAAATCATTAAGGATTGTAAAAAGTTGCATATCATCGTCATAGTACACCAATAACTTTCACCGTGCTAATTTGGTCTTTATAAAATAGAGAGATGAGGTATGATTGCCAATGGTACAGCTACCAACCAGTGTTTAAATAAAGTGGATATAAGCAATTATAGGCCACTGTACGGCCTTCAACAATACATTATAGTCGGCCATGTAGGAATATTTCACGTAACATTTCACAGATTTACAATAAAAAATAATCATTCTACACAACCAGACGACAGTTTGATACTACAGAAAACTATTCTCCCTTCTCTAGGTATTTGAGTTAAAAGCAAAGCAAAAAAAAAAAAAATAAGAACTACGCAAAATAAATTTCTTATCTCACCAGATTATTAAAATTCACAAGATCAAGTTAAGTCTGTGTTGTAAAGATGGTTTTACTATGAGGATTATCCTCTTTAACAAATGTCAGTATACAAGTTAAGACATGATAACTCATCTTAAAGTTTTTGAGCTTAAGAATGCGACACAAAACAGAAACAGATAGAGGAAGTTAAAAGGAATTTATTCCATGTTACGCCTTCACGATTTTCTGTATATTGATCACGAAGGAAGCTTTATTCTCATTAGAATTTTGTCTTCGAGGACAATTTTCATCCGAAAGCAAGATCTAATGATGCGTTCCTTGTCATTAACTCGGCCATTAAAACTTGTAAGCATGACATTGCAATTAAACTTTTTATAGATTCTACTGATATGCAGTATAAGATGTACTGTCCAACCAATCCCTAATACTATATACTATTGTTAACTATTTAACACATCAACAAAGGCTTGTGAATTGGTTAATCGGATGCTTACATTCAGATGTACAATACTTTACCATGAATGGCTGACGTAAAAGATCAAGGAAATAGATAATTGTATGATAAATGTAAATGGCATTTTTGCTATAGTGCTCCGTGCAATGATGATAGTTCACTATACATGTATCACAAATGAAACGAATGCTTTATGTCATTATGTACAATACTTTGCCATGAATGAGTTCGCAAAATTGCTGACGTAAAATGATCAAAGATTTAGATAATTGTATGATAAATGTAAATGCTATTTTTCCTACAGTCTGTTACTTAACAGTGCTCCATGCAACGATGGTATTTAACTATATCAAAAAGGGAGGACAATGGAACCAAAGTTTGAGTTATTTATAATTAAATTTTCTGTTACAAATTACACGTTAGTTTTAAGCTTATGAGAATTACTTGTAAATATTTATGTGGTTATATTTTTGAATGCGATTTTCTATGTTATTCATTACAATGCCAAAGTTTTATATATTTAACGTAAATCTTGGGGTTAATCATAATACACGAACATTTAATTATGTGTTGATACTTATGGAACTAATTTAATATAAGAGGTTTTTGAAGATCAGACGTTACCTTGATAGCACGTTAACATAGATATGTGGAGAGATTGAAAGACAGTCTAGAATACAGAAATAGGAGATTTTCAATACAAATGTTAGTCCTATATGGAATGCCAAAAAATCTGTATCCCGTATTAAACGGGGGAGTGTTAACCCCAGTAGGTCCCATGCTGTGGAGGCGTCTGTTTGATTCTTTTACTTCAATTATTAGCCTGGTATCTTTGATGAGTGTTTACTGCTACTGGAATATGTTGAATATTGTCAAAATGTCTAATGAATAGATGTGTATTTCACACATCATTATTATATTTCCCTAGTGACATTCCAATGTTGACCCATTTTTAAGAACCTATCAGATAAATTAACTGATCAAGTTGTTCTCGTCCTGAAATTGTATGAAACATTTGCCAGTAAAAAAAAATCATATCAATAAATCTATTTTTCATATTTTCTGATGCGTGCTTATATAAAATAAAACATCATTTGAATTTTATGAATGGTTAAATAGTCGGCTTTATTTACGCTTCTAGCATAATAGTGCCCATTCTTGGTAAAAAAAAATCTCCTTGCAACAATTGATATTATTACACTTTAAAACAATGTTAGAATTATATTCGACTGTATAACCTGCTATACGACAGTTTTCGCTTGTAGATCTTCTTTTAAAGCCAAATAAACACCGGATAAATAACTATGAAAGTTATCTTTCCAGTGATATAGTTCTGAAGGCAATATTGACCATAGATGAATTAGGCCATGCATTTTATGTACCGTTTGGTCATATATATAGCTCCTAACGTTTCTTCTGGCATCCCTTTGATTGAGCATTCCTGGCTTTCCAATGTTTAATGGTTTTAGCGTTCCTGGCTTTCCAATGTTTACTGGTTTGAGCAGTCCTGGCTTTCCAATGTTTACTGCTTTGAGGGTTCCTGGCTTTCCAATGTTTACTGGTTTGATCGGTCCTGGCTTTCCAATGTTTACTGGTTTTAGCGTTCCTGGCTTTCCAATGTTTACTGGTTTGAGCGGTCCTGGCTTTCCAATGTTTACTGGTTTGAGGGTTCCTGGCTTTCCAATGTTTACTGCTTTGAGGGTTCCTGGCTTTCCAATGTTTACTGCTTTGAGGGTTCCTGGCTTTCCAATATTTACTGGTTTGATCGGTCCTGGCTTTCCAATGTTTACTGGTTTGAGCGGTCCTGGCTTTCCAATGTTAACTGGTGTGAGCGTTCCTGGCTTTCCAATGTTTACTGGTTTGAGCGGTCCGGGCTTTCCAATGTTTACTGGTTTGAGCAGTCCGGGCTTTCCAATGTTAACTGGTTTGAGCGTTCCTGGCTTTCCAATGTTTAATGGTTTGAGCGGTCTTGGCTTTCCAATGTTTACTGGTTTGAGCGGTCCTGGCTTTCCAATGTTAACTGGTTTGAGCGGTCCTGGCTTTCCAATGTTTACTGGTTTTAACGTTCCTGGCTATCCAATGTTTACTGGTTTGAGCAGTCCGGGCTTTCCAATGTTAACTGGTTTGAGCATTCCTGGCTTTCCAATGTTTAATGGTTTGAGCGGTCTTGGCTTTCCAATGTTTACTGGTTTGAGCGGTCCTGGCTTTCCAATGTTTACTGGTTTGAGCGGTCCTGGCTTTCCAATGTTTACTGGTTTTAGCGTTCCTGGCTATCCAATGTTTACTGGTTTGAGCGGTCCTGGCTTTCCAATGTTTACTGGTTTGATCGTTCCTGGCTCTCCAATGTTTACTGGTTTGAGAAGTCCTGGCTTTCCAATGTTTACTGGTTTGAGTGTTCCTGGCTTTCCAATGTTTACTGGTTTGAGCGTTCCTGGCTTTCCAATGTTTACTGGTTTGAGGGTTCCTGGATTTCCAATGTTTACTGCTTTGAGCGTTCCTGGCTTTCCAATGTTTACTGGTTTGAGCGGTCCTGGCTTTCCAATGTTTACTGGTTTGAGGGTTCCTGGCTTTCCAATGTTTACTGGTTTGAGCGTTCCTGGCTTTCCAATGTTTACTGGTTTGAGCGGTCCTGGCTTTCCAATGTTTACTGGTTTGAGCGGTCCTGGCTTTCCAATGTTTACTGGTTTGAGCGTTTCTGGCTTTCCAATGTTTACTGTTTTGAGCGTTCCTGGCTTTCCAATGTTTACTGGTTTGAGCGTTGCAGGCTCTCCAATGTTTACTGGTTTGAGCGTTCCTGGCTCTCCAATGTTTACTGGTGTGAGCGTTCCTAGCTTTCCAATGTTTACTGGTTTGAGCGTTCCTGGCTTTCCAATGTTTACTGGTTTGAGGGTTCCTAGCTTTCCAATGTTTACTGGTTTGAGGGTTCCTGGCTTTCCAATGTTTACTGGTTTGAGCGTTCCTGGCTTTCCAATGTTTACTGGTTTGAGGGTTCCTGGCTTTCCAATGTTTACTGGTGTGAGCGTTCCTAGCTTTCCAATGTTTACTGGTTTGAGCGTTCCTGGCTCTCCAATGTTTACTGGTTTGAGGGTTCCTGGCTCTCCAATGTTTACTGGTGTGAGCGTTCCTAGCTTTCCAATGTTTACTGGTTTGAGAGTTCCTGGCTCTCCAATGTTTACTGGTGTGAGCGTTCCTAGCTTTCCAATGTTAACTGGTTTGAGGGTTCCTGGCTTTCCAATGTTTGCTGGTTTTAGCGTTCCTGGCTTTCCAATGTTTACTGGTTTGAGCGTTCCTGAGGAAGGTAAATCCAGAAAAACTTCGGACTAACGACATTTGTAAAGTGTTATTTTCATTTTCTATTTTGCTTCAATCTTTTAACCGCTTGAGTAGTTTTACCGCTTGAGTTGTTTTCGTACTTTCTGTCTTATAAAAACGTCATTGAAGAAAAGAATTATTTAGACAGTTTTTTACTTCATTTGTAATCACCCCATCTTAGCTGTGAACTCGACATGAGACAAGTAACAATTTAACAGTCGATTGATCATATTTACTTAGATGAAAAGACAAATTTCTCGTCATACTTACTGGAAGAACAACGAAAGTTAAAATACTACAAAAAAAGTGTACACACGCACACCACTTGGAAAGCCGATCTGATAAAATGGTTTCTTAGAATAAAAACGTAATGCAAGCAGAATATTGAGTAAAGGAAACGTAAGCATTTTTTTAACTCCTGAAACCAAACCTCTTACGTACTCCTCAAACGGTTCGTTTGAAAAATATGTTGACTGCAGAATATTTGAGAGTTGTAATATGACGTTTCAATAGTCACGAACCAAGTTATGAGACTAGTATGTGAAGGTTATGGCAAGATTTACATAAGGACAATTAAATGTCTGAACACATTTTGAAACATACATGATCGTATTATAAACGACAGAAATTGTATACATTCTGATGTAAAAAAAAACCGTCCTAACCTTATATTTCCTATAAAGATAATTTATATAAAGAATTCAAGACCAGTAAGTGGATTAATTCAAAGAGATCTGTCTCGCTAGCTTTGCTTGTCAATTCTCTGGCTTTTCTAAGTCATCATGTAAATTGATCTTTCTATTTAATTTGGCGGAAAAAAATGATAGTATCCATGATTGAATAGAAATGGAAAACTGAAACCTTAGAGAAAATACTTAATTAGCTTGTGACATTTTACAGTTCTCAAATTAAGTAAACCCAATCTGTTTTTCTACAACAAATCCGTTCAAAAATTGCCCACGAGAGAATACTTGTTGCTACTTCATATATAGACTATTACGTAATAGGTCTATAAACGCTTTGTTGAACCGTTAATTGTACAATATATCAAGTTTTGATAAAGAAGCAAGAGCTATAAATCTGAAACCAAGTTCATATCAATATACATTCTTTGTTAAGTGCATGTCTGCATAACAAATTGTTTGTTACATTTTACTATAATTCTATTTAATGCGTTACAATCATTCAGCAGGTTCATTTTACTTCGTTTTAAAATGTCATTTGAATACATATTTTGAATACAGAGTGATGGTTAAAAAAACAGAACATGAACATGCTGATAAAAAGAACACCAAAAAAAACATAAAAAGAAAAAAATGAATAATGAGGAGGTCGGACTTATTTGATTACTAAAAGTAGTCATTTTATGTCGGTATAATTTGATTTTTGCTTTCTGAATAGATATAAATAAAAGTAGATGTGGGACATAAGGCAAGGGCACAGCAATCCAACTACCAAAATACATGATCAGAGTTAATTCAGAAGTTCGTTGGTAGAGTTCGTACAGAAGAGTATAAAATATGAACGCAGGAATTCAGTCCGGATTGTTTGGCTTCAATATAAAGATTGATTGGTTGATTGATTATTGATTGCTTAACGTCCAGTGGCAAATATTACACGTTCAGGATGAGAACAAATTAACAATAAATACAATAGATAGGTCCCGTAATGGAGGCTGCGTACTTGTACATCCCGTGCATCCAAACGGACGCCACACTTTTGGCAAGGAATTTACTGCCGGTAATTATTGTATAGTGATATTTCTATTTCCCCGTTCAATTCTATATAGATGGTAAACTGTCTATAAATCATCACTATTTGAATGCTTATGTAAATCTCTTACATATTGCACAATCCTAGAAATCAAGACATAATCTATTTTCTTAAACGATACAAAGATCTCTATCACATACGTCAATTTTCCGATAGTGATCTTTCCAGAGACATGTACCTTTGTCGCCTACGTGTTGTGCTGAAGTGCAATATTACGGTTTTTAATTCCAGTATTAAGTATTTTTTGTCAAAAGGAGAAGCGAAAGATATCAAAGGGATAGTCAAACTCGTAAACGACATGACAATGCCATGGCATAGAGCAATCTCATTCCATTTAGGTCAATGTATTGGCCTCCCCAAGGGTGACTGGGGAATAGAAGTATGGTCACCATTGGTCTTCCTCCGACCGGCAGTAAAACCCGTGCTAAAGTGGGGCGTCCGTTTGGCTGTGCGGGATGTACAAATTTGCAGCCACGTCCGGTCAGAATGGGGACGTTAAATCCGATGCCTCGTGTAAAGAGAGTGCCACGCTCTTTGCACGTTAAGAACCCTTGCAACAACTCTTTGAGGGGTCCGTAGGTGACCTGTTGCAAGGCTAAATTTCTGTCCCTATCCAATATACCCTCATTTCCCGTGGCAGACTAAATTTCTCCGACCATAATCCCTTAATCTATTACAGAACCTACCTATTGTATTTATTGTGAACTTGTTCTCGTCCTGAATATGCATGAAATATTTGCCACTGGACGTTAAGCAACCAACAATCAATCAATCAATCATGTATTGGCTTTTTTCATATAAATCAAGAACCCCGTCCAGTGCTTCAGATAATACTTTTGTACTATAAACGATAACTTCTATCATTTATTTATGTAATCAAGTTCCAGACACTATCTTATTTAGAGTTTGAATGACTGAGACTCTTTATAATTGATCTGTCTGCTCCCATGTTGTGAATAAATGCCTTATGTCATTCAATATCATTTTCTGTCCCCGACAAGTCGAATATGATTATATATTGATATAAAGTGAACATCTTTAGTACGTGTATGCCAATTCTACATAGTTATTACTGGTTTTCGTCTAATAATCGTCTTCTGTTTTTAGAAGAACGTCATTAAAACATCTCCCATCCGGCAGTAAAACCAATGTTCTAAGAGGGACATCCGTTTGGCTATGCGGAATGCATAACTACAAAGCCACTTCCGGTGGGAATAGAGACGTTGATTATAATGCCTCATTTAGATAGAATGCCACACTCTATGCTCGTTAACAAAACATTGCAACGACGCCCGTGCCTCTTTTCAATATACCCCTTTTCCAATCGCAGTCTAGGTTTCCTGTCCTTCATTTCATTCGATCTACTTAGTAGAGCCTGCCTTTTGGATTTATTGTTACATGTAATTTGTTCTCGTCCTGAATATGCACGAAATATTTACCACTTAATGTTAACCAATCAACAATCAATTAATTAGTCAGAATTGTGTGACAATACTGCGTCTGCTTCAGTGTCCAAGCAGAAAGTTGATGAGCCAAAATAAGTTAAAGAACGTCTCGTCAATTTTCTAAAAAAAAATTCATTGGAAGATATCTAGACCTTGTTGATAGATACTCCGTATCAACTTCCCAAATAATACATGCTGGTCTTGAAGTATAGATTCTATGTACTGACGTTGTTTGTCATCTTATTTACGTGTTCTTTTTATTTATCCTTGTACATTTTTAACCTTTACTGTTTAGTCTAATTTTGGTAATATACTTTAGGCGTGTCTGTGTACTTATACATCCCGCCATTGTGTTATTGTGCTATGGTCAATTTTGTATGCTTGTCTTTCATTTTTGCTAATGCACTTTGTCTATAGTGTCTAAATGCCATTTTTTTCTTTGTTGAAATAGTTATTTGTTTTTATAGTGATTAAGTTTATATTACAATAAAATTGAGAATGGAAATGGGGAATGTGTCAAAGAGACAACAACCCGACCATAGAGCAGACAACAGCTGAAGGCCACCAATGGGTCTTCAATGCAGCGAGAAACTCCCGCACCCGGAGGCGTCCTTCAACTGACCCCTAAACAAATATGTATACTAGTTCAGTGATAATGGACGTCATACTAAACTCCAAATTATACACAAGAAACTAAAATTAAAAATGAATAAGACTAGCAAAGGCCAGAGGCTCCTGACTTGGGACAGGCGCAAAAATGCGGCGGGGTTTAACATGTTTTTTGAGATCTCAACCCTCCCCGTATACCTCTAGCCAATGTAGAAAAAACAAACGCACAACAGTACGCACAGTAAAACTCAGTTCAAGAGAAGTCCGAGTCCGATGTCAGAATAGGAAACAAAAGAAAATAAACAAAATGACAATAATACATAAATAACAACAGACTACTAGCAGTTACTGACATGCCAGCTCCAGACCTCAATTAAACTGATTGAAAGATTATGTCTTCATCATATGTTGACTGCTGTATCCCAATTTTTGACATTGTTACCTGTTATGTCTGTTTATTTTGCTCACACATTGTTGTCAATATAATGGAATTCTATGCAACTGTCATACAAGTGAGAGATTTAGCTAGCTATAAAACCAGGTTTAATCCATCATTTTCTACATAAGGAAATGCCTGTACCAAGTCAGGAATATGACAGTTGTTTTCCATTCGTTAGACGTGTTTTAGCTTTTGATTTTGCCATTTTATAAAGGACTTTCCGTTTTGAATTTCCCTCGGAAATCGGTAGTTTTGTTATTTTACCTTTTTTAAAACTGTCAAACGAAGATTCATGCAGCTTAAAAAATACGATAACGTTCGAACTATACTATATAAAAATAAGGAGACGTGGTATGATTATCAACGAAACAACTATCCACCAAAATTCAAATGAAGTGGATGTAACCAATTAAGGGCAACCGTACGGCCTTCAACAATGAGAAAAGCCCATACCGTATAGTCGGTTATAAAAGGCCCCGATGTTTATTTCAGAGATATTGATTATAATCGGGTTAATTTGTTTTTGAAATACGGAATGTTTCGATTCTTCATTATATACCACTACTGACAAATCTAGAGAAAAACATATTTGGATGTTCCTGTATTTGTCTTCTTCAGTCATCGTCACCATTTAGAGAAAAATGTCACTTTTAATAACAAGCAATTATGTAACAAAAAAGTCTCCTCAATCCCATGCTTGAATGAATAGCCCAACTAAAGGTTGGCAACCCTCTTGAATTCCAAAA